TTTTAAGAAAAGTTTCTGCTTTAATGGAACTATCCCTCGTACAATCAAAACTTCATACATCCCTCTTCCGAAGCAGTTATCCAGTAACAGCCAGCCGCCCCAACGGTGGAACATTGCTTTCCTGGGTACTAAAACCCTAACTGGCATAGAAGAAAGTTGAAGAGAACGAGAGTCATTAAGTAAAGTGGACATCGCCCCATCCTGCGGCCCCTTCCCCCAGACCTGTTCGGTCTGGCTGTGGGAGAAACAGCACCACACACCGTTCACTGGCTTAGAACAAACAACTGTCTTAAATGACAATATCTCAACCTCATTACACATCGTCTTGGCGTTATTCTGAAACTAAATCCTCAGTAAGTCATGTCACAGTTCAATACAGGTGACTGCTTCTGAGTGACAGGATCCAATTGCAAGGGCAGCACCCACTGCCCTCCCTCTGTCCCTATAAAGTGCATTCGTGGTCAGAAGCATGATCGTACAGCCTGCGACAAGCAGAGGATTCAATTCCAAACCCAGACACAGGAGCTCGTTTCGGTGAGGAGAAATCACTGCCCTTTCTGTCGTGGGAGGGTCCACAGTAGCGCGTCTACAACTGAGTGGTCCCCGGTGTCCCTTGAGTAGGGCCAGTGTCAGGTCAGGCGTCAGCCCTGATGCTGTGTGCACTGAGGGGCCGGGTCTGCGCTGATGATGGGAGGCCTACGAGGGCGGGATCTGTCATTGCCCATCTTTGCCATCACGGCCACTTTTGTGCGTGAATCAGCTGAGAAAGAAATGATGCCACACGTGAGTAGAGGGTCTTTGTCCATTTAATTATTAAGAGGCTTCCCTTATAGTGGGGATTTGGGGTGACCTTTTACTCAAGGAACGATTGTTTTCAAGTTTGGCCCATTCTGAGAAGTGAAGCCATACATGTCTCCCCAAACCTCTCTGTCACTAAACCTCTAATCTTGTCGTTGTGAAGCTCTTGATCAGTTGACCAGACCATTTGTCACTGCTCAGAAATTGGTGTGGCTTCTTGCATCAAACTTCCCTTCCTTCCAACCAAAGCAGACACAGAGTTATGTGCTTAGAGTTCTCCCTCCTGGGAGGTTTTCCTTCTCACCTGCTAGTCTCATTGAACTGTAACATCACAGCCGTCCATCTGCAGAGCAGGCCAGCGGACCGTGCACACAAGCTGGGCTCAGTGGTTTTTCATCTCTCAGTTACTGGTTCTTGGGAAAACCCCCCTGAGGCCATAGGTAGCCTGGTGGGGACAGGAACAGGCACACGTGCACATGCAAGTGACTCGTGCCTTCAGCACCTGGTCAGGCCCAGGTTCACGTACGCTGTTTCCAATTGGTGATGGGATTTCATGACTGTGATAGATGACCCAGTACCTGATGGGCAGCGTGGGGCACAGATGACACCCGGTACATTAGGGATAATCACCTGGTGTCCAATGGCCAGTGCACTGAGGCTCAGAAGTCACTCCCAGCTTCTCACGCCAGCCCCATAAATCCAGAATCTCTGCAACAAGTATCTGTATCAGTAACTTCAGACCAATTTAAAGTGTTCTTCACCCATTTATTAAGCACCTTAAAAATCCATTCTAACATATATTTTCCCCAAATTAATGAATAAAAATTAGAAAAATCCTGAAATTAATGTTGGCTTCTCATCCTTATCCTCCCTGGTTTGAGTTTGCCATTGCCCCTCCTTCCGAAGTGCTCTGGGATCTCACTGTCTGTTCTGGAGACAACATGTGCGCGAGGAGATCAGCTTTCCGTCACAGGGCGGCTCCCACAAAGGAGGCCAAGGAACTGTGGTGTCTTTAAGAAGCATTTCATGGTGAATTATTTTTTTGATGTGCTGCTGAATTCTATTTGCTAAAATTTTGTTGAGGATTTTTGCATCTATATTCATGAGGGATATTGGTCTGTAGTTTTCTTTTTTTGTTGT